TCGTGCTTTTAGACTCCTTTGCCATTTGCCTCGACAGCACGCCCCTACAATGAGAATCTTCCCTATCTGCCCCCATCTGCCCTCCATCCCTTACATTATCATCATCATCGTTTGCTTTCTCTCTCCTCTCTATCACCATCTTATTTTTCCGTGTCAGTTCTTGCAACATGCCTTTCATGGTTTTCATTTCCAGTCTCATTAGCTTCACATGTACCATTATACTTGAAAATGCCTTAAGGCTCTCTACCATTATACTTGAAAATGCCTTAAGGCTCTCTGCAATATCCTGGAAGAATTCATTAGATGGTGAGGTATCCTTCTTGAGCACTAATGTCTTCTCCAGCTTCTCAGCTCGTTCTCTTTCTTTCTTTAACTCCATCTGCATCTCCTCCAGTTCCTTTTGGTAAGCTCTGTCCGCTTCCTCATGGTAACCGTCTTCCAGTTTCTCCTCGCTTTCATCCTCCAATGCACTTTCTGATGATCCCTCACTTGCTATCGAATCCATCATCCTTGATGTGCTGGGTTCCGATTCCTACAATATGAAAAAGTAAAGAAAGAGAAAATAAAGAATAGGCAACATTTGATCTATAAGATATTTTTATTACAAAATTTGAGATGGGATATACACTTTAATTATCAAGAGAGAAGAGTGTCTCTTAGTCACTTTAGTCTCTTTCCTCCTCATTTTTAAAGAAAAGAGAAGAGCCTATCAGAAGTATACTTCTTTGTCACAATAATCTCACAAAATTCTAAGAGAGAGAGAGCAGTTATCAATTTCCTTGAAAACAAAGTTTTGCATTAGTGATCACTTAAAAATAAATGATTAAGACAGTTTCAGAAATGTTTGGTGACTACAAGTACAAGCATAATTTAGAAAGATCCATACAATTCCATTCATAACATGCAAGACTTTCTAGCTGCAACTATGCACCTCTCAAAATCTAAATCAAACATCCACAAACAGTGAACGGCACAGCTTTTGTTCAGCCAATGATAAAAAAGAATAACAACATAAACCAACCATACTCCTTCTTTTCCTCATTCTGAAGTGCTTTATTCAGTTGTAAGTCAGATCAAATGACATTGCTCTCTACAAATTCTGTTTATGAATAGTTTTGAGAATGAAATATTGCAGAAGATCAAAAAGACATGAAACGAAAGACAGGGTCAAATATCTTCATCTCAGAAAAAAAAATGTGAATTGTTTTGAACTCATTTAAGTTTTTCAAATTAACAGTCAATATAAATTAGAAATGCTATGTATTACACAATGACAAAAGTAATCATTATGGTGTAAATTTTCATTCACACAGTTTTAGAGAAATTGATAATTGATGTCCATCCTACAAACAGCATTAAACTGGTAATGAATCAATTCCACATCCTCTTTAAAAAAGATTTAGTCTTTACCAGGTGGTAAGTATGTGAATCTCGAGTTGAATGTGTCTGCTGTGCAAGCTGCCTTCCCAGTTGAAGGCAAAGCCTTTAAATGATGTATGGACAGTTGAGTTGGATGTTTGAAGATGTACAAGGAACCTGAAAAGAAAAGATGAAAGATGAATAAGCACTTCTGTCAATATTTTACTTTTAAAAAAATACAAAAATATATGTACCTGACTACCTGTACAGGGTAAGTGTATCAGTTGATTAAAAAAAGAGCTACAATTCAGTAGGGAAAATATTTTTGGATTTTTAGTTTGGTAGAAGAAAAAAAGTGATACTGGGCAGGCAAGGCACAAATTAGCATCTTGTTCATTTAAAATAGAGCTATTTGGCACTTTCATATTCATGTGCTGGCATGCCTGATATTGCCTGGTAACCACCCATCACAGCTTTTGTGAATTTGAAGACAACAAATCACAATTTAGTCCATCTTTCAACCAAATAATTTTACAGGGGGGGGGGGGAGGGGGGAGGGGTGTTTCACAAAAATCGTAAGTTGAACTTATCTCTAAGTTGGACTTAACAATTATGGAAAACGGTTAGCATCTATGAAAATATTTTGTAAAAGTGATTTTAAAAGGCATAAAATGTTGAATTAAATCATTCATATTTTCTATTATCAAGGAGATTTCATGTTCTTGATGTGGAGTTTATGAAAAGTCTAAAATACTTTTGATTTTTTGCTGTTTAAAATATTTTTTATTTTAAGGCTACAAATGGCTCTCCATAATTTTTAAGTCCAACTTAGAGTTAAGTTTGATCTTTGTGAAACAGCCCCCGATGATACATGATTATTTCATGCTTGACAGCTTCATGTATCTCTGATTTTTGCAAGCTTTAACTTCCTTATGACCATTTCAAAACTAAGCTCAAGATCAAACCAATAAGACGTATGTGAAAATGAAACATTAAGAAACCTGTTATAGGTAATACAAACTTTTGGTATGGGGTCTTGAATTTGGTTCAAATGAACATATCGGAAGCATATACGATCCTACAATATTCAGTAATCGTTGTCCCGGTTGAAATTGAGTCTAAAGTTATGAAATTGTAAATAATTAACTCTTTGTTGAATAGCTCCCTCTCAAGGTCACGATATTAATTAAACTATAAAACAATGTTTCTAGACTAAAATCGATCGATTAGCTATTCCCGTTTGGAAATTATGTATCACAACTACGTATTCTGAAATTTTCATGGTCACAGCTACCATTGTGCAGCCGTAGGCGCTATTTGAAATTTATCCAGATTTACCGGGAGCACCTGTAAATTTTCATTTTCAATTTTTCTTGAAAGCAGAAGTGTTTTAGGGACCAAATTTTCTAGTGCTTATAATACATCCACAGGGTCATCCAAATATATCAAAATTGTAAAGAATCACTATCCACCCAATTTTCAAAATTTCCCAAAACTTTGTATTACCTTTAAAAGCTACATTAAAAATACAGTCATAACTGTCTTAGTCGCTGCCTCTCTATAAAGGCCACCTGTCTATAGTGGCCATGTAATTGGTTTCACTTAAGTGTGTCTCAGAACTATTGTGTCGAAAGGTCACCCATCTACAGTGGGACACTTTCTGTTTACCCAAGATTGCTCAATGGAAACAAAACAAGTGGTTTCTATTCACAGGTTCCTTTAGTAAATGCTTGAAGGTAAAGACCAGTATTGGAAACGCCCCAATTTCAAAAAATGAAATGGAAGCTCTTATTACCAATCATGTGAAAGAATATGTTTTGAATATTACATGATAAAAATGTTGATGGGAAACCGCCTACTAATTGATATATTTGGTAAATTAGTGTATCTCTTGCCTATTGAGAGATACAAATGCACGTGTCGCGCACGTGTGTGTAGTCCCATATACATCTTTCTGTGTACAGTGCTTCTAACTTTATGAAGACTTGGACAAATTTCTTATCATTTTGATGATTCCAGAACCTTGCAGGACATCTATGCTAGATGATCAACCATTTCTGATCTATTTCACGTTTCTTTCAAAATCGCATGACCATAACTGTCTTTAGCTTTAAGAAACCATTTTCAAAGTAAATGAAAAATTTGCTCTTTATAGACAGGTGGTGTTTCTATACATGTGGTCACTACAGCAGGTTTTACTGTTGTTAAAAGACTGTATTAAACACTCACCTTAGTTGCCTTATCCTCAGAGATGTTTTCGTTGTTGCAGGATAGGTGTTTACATGAAGCCCAGCTCTGCAGATGGGAAATCTGGAATTCTTCTAAAAGTTTTATCAGTCCACTGTTCATCTTCAAAGTTAGTTCATAATTTGAGGCTTACCAACAAATGATTTCTAGCATTTCTCTTGTATTTAGTTCATACATGTATGACATTAGGAATAACTTCAATTATGTTTCACTTTCAAACATACCGGTAAGTCATTTCAAGTTCAAGTTCACAACGATTCTTTCAAAGCTGATCTTTGACTGTCTTGCGCCAAATTGGCTTGGTTCCATTAATCCCCACTTGATTATAAGCATATAAGGAGATGCAGAAGACCAGCGCTTGATAGCGATATGTGGACAGAGTATTCTTTAAGGAAAACAGTGCAATACATGTAGGTCTATTCAATCTGCTCCATGGTCCCATTCTTACTCTCTCTTTTTTCTATGATTGTGGCCTTTGAGGAAAAAAGAGTATGGGTAAAACTGTGATACATGTAGTTGAAAAATGAAGATAAAAAAGAACAAAGTAAGATGTGTAGCCAAGGGTGATGGGGCAGTTGCCTCCCCCCCCCCCCCCCCCCTCAGAAAAAAACGAGGGAAAGAGAAAAAAGTGAGAGAATAGCAAGAAAAAGTCAACAATCTAAAATGAGTGGTAAGTGCCACTTATCAATTTCTTAAAATTTGATTACACATTTTAATAGTCGGCTTCCTCTCAATGCATTGCCTCCCTAAGAAGCACTGTCCCACCCCCTCCCTTCTCTCTCTCTCTCTTGATCCCTCTCTCATTCCCACCCTATCTCTCCTTCTAAATATCCCTAAACCCTCTCTATCTCCCTCCCCCCCCCCCTCCCCTATAGCAAGGCATTAATACCGCAAATTTCTGTGAATAAGACGCACTTTTGTCCCGCCGTCATTTTTTTTTAAAGTGTCGATTTATGCCCCATTCACCTGCACTGTGCTTGGCAATGTCTCCCAGCTCAGTCATACAAGGTGTGTTGACTCACCACTCACACCGATACAGTCACAGTAAGATACTGTAGGAAGTTATTTGAAGTGGCATAGTAAAACTATACTAGATTAAATAATCTGTCATCCAGGTTACAAAGTTGCAACAGTAATGTACTGTCACTATTTGTCACCTGGGTTATAGTGATGGCTCAGCCTCAAACTGTAGGATCAAACTACAACACTACCTAAATTTCTTCTTTTTTTTTAACCTTTTTTGCCCCCCAAAATAGGGGTGCGTCTTATACACAGAGATTTACGGTAAGTGTTCAAAATTCCCATATATCTTTAAAAAATATCAACACAGGTTCTTTCTGTCACTACTTTTATGAGAAGTGGTAAATCATAACAAATACATAAGCAAGGCATAGTTGAATATCTTGAATTTTTATATACAAAAGAGGACCAAGTAATTTGCTCTGAAATTTGGGGGTTCCACTCCGGTATACTACATGTATATTCCCGGTTCACATATTACCTCTGTAAAGAAAAATTTACAAAATGTTAAATGTTCCTTAAAGTTAAAGAAATAACCAACAAATTGTAAGTTTAAGAAATGCACTTTTTATTGAATATCCAATATAATTACAACAAACAGCAGTAGAAAACTTGCCCTACTTGCAATGACACAGACATGTTTGTACTTCTGCTAATACGTTTATTAAACAGTGATTCAACAAATATACATTGGAACTTGCTGCTCTCTAGCTCTGAAAATATGAAGTAGGAATGTGATATAAATTTACAAATGTATTCCCAACACAATCTCACTTTTTCTTGTAAAAATCCTTGAAAATAAAACTATACTCAGTGGACTCTACCCAACTACACTGTTGACTATAAAGTTGCAATAATTCTTCATATCTGTTTTCACGAAGTGATTGTGACAATATAGTTTATTCTTCAAAAGGTACATACATGATTATGTAGTTCATATCTTCTCAGAACTTTATCAATTAATCTCTTTAGATTAATCATAAAGTTCTGAGACGATATGAACTGCATCTATCAAGAATAAACCACATTGTAGCAATCACTTCATGAAAAAAGTTCATGAAAAGAGTTAATGAAAGAATGTTCCAACTTTATGGGCAAACCTGTGGGTACTTGATATACAAGTAAGGCACATTTCCACAAAATAACTTGAGCTTCTGTTATCTCAAGCTTACAAGTTTGAACAAGTAAATTGTTGTGATACTACTGGAAATGCGCGAAGCAATACTCCAGAAAGTATCTTGTAAAAATAAATTTCTTGCCACAATTGTCCTTGTTACAATTCATTATCAACAAAATAATGACACACTAAAAGAACACAAAATTCATCATTCAAATATGAGTTATTACAAAATGAATGTAGAGAATATTGAATTTAATAACAAATGTGATAAAGCAAATTACATGCTGATATTTTTTCTAATAGAACATAAAGGAAAAAAAATGCAAGCCTACTGTATAAACTCTTATCTCTTGAGTAGTACTTGCAAATATGTGCACCAATTTCACATGCCAGTATTAATTTTAAAAACTAAAACAAAATAATATCAACATTTATAAAAAATCTACACGTCCTACACAAAGACTTATTTGCCTGCAGACTATGCTTTTTTGAGAAGTGCCAGTGTACGGCAAGAATTTCAATAAATATTTACAACATGCTGTACATGTATGACATGTATAGGTCTACATAGCTACGAAGGAACATTAACCAGAGAAATATTATGCTTTGCAATCTGATCCACATTCATACTCTGCCTTGTTTAAGTTTAGAATGTTCTAAAAGGTTTATAGTTGGCTTCTGAAGCTGCATTAAGGTTTCCCAATGACAAACTATCAGACAAATGAAATTGTATATTAAATAAACTAATGAGAATGAAAATTGCAAAATGCAAAAAAATAATTCAATTGTTTCATAAAATGCTGCATTGCCTATTTGGTGACTTCCATGCCTAATTTTTAATTCACCCATCTTATTCATAAATGACACAATGCACTGCATGAGAAATGAAGTCATCTTTTTCAGTGATTTAGTTCTCTCTACTCATGAATTATGGGTAAATCCTTCCTGATCAAAAGATAATGGAATGTAGCCATGAAAAACATTTTAACTGCTTTGGGTAAAAGCATGATTTCTCATACTTTTGTTACTGTGTACATTATGTAAATATGTCCAGTCGAGACAAAAGACTGAAATAATTGAAGAAAAAAATGATGCCCCTCAAAATTTGATGGAAAATTACACAGGCTAAATAAACAGAATTATCAATCCCAATTTTTGATACAACAAGAATCCTCCATATATACAAGAACCCTGCATGTACAAGTACAAATGTAATTTTAACCATAAAGTACAACAACAAAAAAACATTAAGCTAGAGTAATTGCAAAGAAATAATGTAACATTGTCACACAATGTAGGAGCTTGCTTTCTATAACATTATGTTATCACTTTTTCTTTCTGGCATTTTTTAGAGTTACAAAGTGCCTTTTTATCATACAAGATAAACAAATTAACCTTTAAAATGTTATAATCTGAAAATGCAATTTATTGTCCACAGAATCAGATAGGCAGTGTACAGGTTCATGTACATCAAAGCTGTACACTGTGAATACAAGAATCATTAAAGCAAATATCTTTACCCCAGACACTGATGAAATTGAAGAAACAAGAAAAGAAATAACAAAAGATTGGTTCCCTCCTGTTAAAAAAATCGCTCCCTCATGACATAGCAAAAATCCTTGTTTCTGATTTAGCACATGAGCGGATGTAAATAATGTCAACACAGTAGTTATTACTAACTACTGAAATTGTTATTCGTTCTCTATAGACTCGTGTCTTTATTGATCGAACCAATCATCTTAATCTTCTCTCCCTCATCGTACTCCCTTTCCTTTACTTTCACCATTTCCATTCTATTCATCTAAATTCATCAGACATTTTCAAAATCAAAATCAGAATCAGAATCAGAATCAGAATCAGAATCTGAATCAGAATCTGAATCAGAATCTTCTTCTTCCTCCTCTTCTTCCTCCTCCTCCCCTTCTTCATCTTCACTAAGACTGTACTCCAACAACCCATCATCAGCATCACTATCATTCAATACAGACTCCTTCTTATTCTGTATTTTTTCATCCACAGCTCTCGCGTCTCCTACTTTCTCTAGCTTCTTTCTTGTTTGACGATGCAGTTCCCGACAATATTTATTAATGTAAAAGGTGCATTCATTTTTGCATATCACCCTGGCTGCTTCAGGCACATGATATATACAATATGTTGTGTCCAGAACATATTTTAGTATGCTACGATCGATTGCTTGGACGTTAGATCTCTTAGATGCTTGTAGTGTCTTCCCAGTGCAGTTGCTATTCATCAGAACGTCATTGCTTATGCACTTGTTCAAGAGCCGCCTAGCGAAACAGGCCCGGTTACTAGATTTATCATGCAAGATCCAGAGCTCCTTTGTAGACAATGGATTACCAGGACCTACTTTAGGCTCTGCCATATAGGACAGTAATCTGATGTACGAATCAACATGACTCGCACATTCTCGTTCACAAATTTCCTTGTCAGATTCTTCAACACCATACATGTCATATGTGGTGTTCAAGATATACCTCAGAATGTCTGGATCAATTGGTTGGGCATGGGATCTCTTACCCAATGCTGCTCCCACACTCCAGATACTTTTTCTCAGAATGGCATTATCCAGGATATTTGTAAGGACAATTTTGGCAAAGTTCCCCCTTGATTTGGACTTAGCCCGTATTTTGATGATGATGTCTTCAGATAAAGGCACCCAGGACTGTCTCTTTGTACCATGAACTCCTACTTCATCTCCTGTCTTATCTTCATTAATCAAACCACTTCCTTCCTTCTTTCCTACCCCGGCATCTTTCCTTACACTGCACTTCGAAATGCCAGGACCAACTGCCTTACTACTTTGAGCTTCTCTGTCCTCACCCATCCCATCCTTGCCTCTGTCCACACTAACATCACGGTTCAAGTCAAACCGTCTGCTCATGTCAATGTCATCCTGTGATATATTATCCAATTGTTTTCCTTTCATTGCATTCACTACCTCCTGGTCTCTTCTGTCATCACTTCCCTTCATCCTCACTTCATTTTCACCTTTATCTTCCCTTGGGCAGTACCCAGAACCACTGTCAGTCTCCATCGGTTTCTCCTCCTTTACTTTAACTACTACATCATCTCTTTGGTCAATTTTTTCACACCTCGCAGTTTCATTTGCCATCCTACCTTCACTTTCATTTGGACTATACCCAACACACTTATCTCCAGAATCATCATCACTCTCTAATGTCTTTTCTCTCCCTACGTTCGCTACTTCATGGACTCCTTCTTCATCACTTCCATCACTCATTAGATTGTGTTCCATCATGTCATTAGCTTCACCAGGACTGAAGTCACTGTACCAACCAAGCTCATCATCGTACTCTTTATCACTCCATGACATTTCACTTCTCTCAGCCTCTTTGTCTGTAACAGTCCCTTCCTTGTCTGTCTCCACTTTACAACTATTTAGCAAGTCCACGCTTCTCTCCGGTGTACATCTATCATGACAGGTTTCATGGATATCCTTCCCTTCATTTATACCTTCTCCATCCGCTCCATTTCCTGACTTCCCCTTCATGGATTTTCTGAAGAGGTCTCTGCAATACGCATTGATGCTAATGATACATTCCTGGTTGCACTTTTGCTTCTCGAATTCATTGATGGCAAACACATCAAATGTCATCTCTAGTGCGTAATTAAGGGTACCTGGATCGATCCGTTGGACTGGGGGTCTACTGCATATGTAGTCCTCCCAAGATCTCTCTCCAGAACAGCTGCTATTTATGAGAATGTCATCACTCACAAGCTTCGTCATGAGGCATTTGGCAAAGTATTCACTTGTTCTTGCTCGTGTGGCTATGCTGCTGATCTCATAGTCGGACAACTTTTCCCAGGGTAATCTAGCCCCTTCAACAACTCCCTGTCCATCCCCTAAAACACTATCTTCTCGATTCCTTACTACACTGTCTTCCCTTTTTCCTACACTTTCCTCCCCATCTGCAACAATCACTTCTCCATTCACTGCATCACTTCCAACACTGCTGCTCCCATCTTCAGTGTGTCTGGAATCAAAATCTCTTTCTGTCCGGTCTTCATCATTCCTCAGCAACTTGGGCCTTTCTGCTTGCTTCTCTGCACCTACAATTTCCCATTCTCTTTGGTTTGTAGATGGGATGGACAGAGATCTTTCTCCACTGCTGTTCTTGTCTTCATCATGTGTAGCATCTGCTACTTCATCTGTTGGGTCTGCTATGGTATCCAGCAACTCGGGCTCTTCTGCTTCATTCCCCTTCTCTATCCTTTCTTCTTCTCTTTTTTTTTTATTTTGTAAGAACAGATTCATGCAATATAAATCTATACAGCTGATGCATTTCTCATAGCAAACCTTCTTATTAGATTCATCGATACCAAAGGCATCATATGTCAGCTCTAGAATCCTGTGAAGAAGGGCAGAGTTAATCGGAAGTCTATCTCTTGTTGCACCTTGAAAGCACCTGCTACGTGCTAGCACATCATTGTCAACTAGCTTTGTCAAGATGGTTCTTGCAAATGTTCCCCACGACCTTATTGCAGCGTCCCTCCACTCATCTGTAATTTCTTTTTCTGACAGCTTTTCCCATGGTAGTTTCTCCTCTGCCCCTCCTCCCTTCCGAACATCACTCTCTACCCTTGTCCCATCTTCATCCTGTTTGATGCTGGTGTCTCCATCTCTCAAGTTCTTGCCTTTCCTCGGTGACTCATTTCTATCTGCTTCCTTACTGGCATCCATCCCTTCCTCATCTCTTTCGTTTTTGGATCGACTCGTCCTCACCTTGGCATGCAGGCGCTTACAGTAGGCATTCATGCATTCAACGCACTCCCGGTCACAATCCTTCTTCATTGATACATCCACATCAAATTTATCATACGTCGTCTCCAAAACATACCTCAGGATGTCTGGGTCAATCTTCCGTCTTGGGTAATCACTGCGATATCTGTTATAGCAGTTGCTGTGCATCAGAATATCATCGCTAACAAGCTTCTTCAAGAGATTTCTCGCAAACTTGGCAGTTGAATTCAAGAAAACCTTTCTGCGAATGATGGTAATCTCTGCTTTAGACAACCAACTCTTTACACTTCTTCCTTTACCATTAGCCACCTTTCCAACTCCTGAATCATTATTCCTTGGTGACCCAGTTCTTTCCGATTCTAACCCTGTTCCCTCATTCCCCTCTTTTCTACCTGTAGTGCTTTTAGACTCCTTTATTATTTTCCTTGAAAGCACGCCCCTACAATAAGAATCAATGCATTCAATGCATTCACGATGGCATGCTTTTTTGTCAGATTCCTCAACGCCATACTGGTCATAGGTTTTTTCCAAGGTGTACTTCAGAATGCCTGGATGGATAGGTTTAACGTTGGGTCTCCTGGAATTGATCACAACTCTGCCATAACAGTTGCTGTTGATCAGTACATCATCACTAATAAGCTCCCTTATTACATAACTGGAAAAAGTAGCCCTATTTCTAGAACAATCACGCAATTCAGAGATCATTTCTTCTGATAATGGCTTCCATTCCTGTTCTAACCCTGTTCCCACATACGGCTTCATCCTATCTGTCCTACTTTTAGACTCCCCAGCCATGTGCCTTTTAAACACACCTCTACAATGAGAATCAATGCAGTCAATGCATTCACGATGGCATGCTTTTTTGTCAGATTCCTCAACGCCATACTGGTCATAGGTTTTTTCCAGGACGTACATCAGAATGTCCGGATTGATAGGTTCAACGTTGGGTCTCCTGGAATTGCTCCGAACTTTGCCATAGCAGTTGCTGTTTATCAGTACATCATCACTAATAAGTTTCCTTATTAAACACGTGGAAAAAACAGCCCTATTTCTAGCCCTTCCATGCAATTCAGAGATCATTTGTTCTGATAATGGCTCCCATTTTTTCTCTGTCACATCTTTCCTCAAACTCTCTTTACTCTTGACTATCCTCTTCCTCACCTCTCTGCCTGGATCCTGCTCTACACTTCTTCTTTCAAATTTTGATATAATGCCTCTACCTGGTCTTCTTACTTCAACATTCTGCATGGTATCCAGCTTTTGGAACTCATCCATTTCCGCATATCCCTTGGCACCACCCTCACGGTTGTTATCCACAGAGCAATCCACGCTTTCTCTCTCATTCCTACCCTCAATGTCTCTATCCCCTAAGTCATTCTCATCGAGCACTCTTCTCTTTTGCTCCTCCGACTCCTCCATATCTGCCATCTGCCCTCCATCCCTTGCACTACCATCATCTTTTACTTTCACTCTCCTCCTCTCCATCACCATTTTCTTCTTCTTCCCTGTCAGTTCTTGCAACATGCCTTTCATGGTTTTCATTTCTAGTCTCATTAGCTTCACATCTACCATTATACTCGAAAATGCCTTAAGGCTTTCCGCAATCTCCTGGAAGAATTCATTAGATGGTGAGGTATCCTTCTCGAGCACTAATGTCTTCTCCCGTTTCTCGGCTCGTTCTCTTTCTTTCTCTAACTCCATCTGCATCTCCTCCAGTTCGTCTTGGTCCGCATCTTCATGGTAACCGTCTTCTAGTTTCTCCTCGCTTTCATCCTCAAATTCACTTTCTGATGATCCCTCACTCGCAATCGAATCCATCATCCTCGATGTGCTGGGTTCCGATTCCTACAATATGAAAAAGTAAAGAAATAGAAAATAAAGAATAGGATATTTTGATTACAAAATTTGAGATGAGATATACACTTTAACTATCCACAAAGCAGATTGTTTCTTTGTCACTTTAGACTCTTTCCTCCTCATTCTTAAAGAAGAAAGAAGAGCCTATCAGAAGTGTACTTCTTTGTCACAATAATCTCACAAAATTCTAAGAGAGAGCAGTTATCAATTTCCTTGTTAAACAGATGTTGCAGTGAGCTTTTAACAATTTTGAAAAGATATTACATACAAAGTTTTGCATTAGTGATCACTTATAAATAAATGATTAAGACAGTTTCAGAAATGCTTGGTGACTCCAAGTACAAGCATAATTCAGAAAGATCCATACAATTCCATTCATAACATGCAAGACTTTCTAGCTGCAACTATGCACCTCTCAAGATCTAAATCAAACATTCACAAACAGTGAACGGCACAGCTTTTGCTCAGCCAATGATAAAAAAGAATAACAACATGAACTAACAATACTCCTTTCCCTCATTCTGAAGTACTTTATTCAGTCTTAAGTCAGATCAAATGACATTGCTCTCTACAAATTCTGTTTATGAATTGTTTTGAAGATGAAATATTGCAGAAGATCAAAAAGACATTAAATGAAAGACAGTGTCAAACATCTTCCTCTTAAAAAAAAAGTGTTTTAAACTAATTTAAGTTTGTCAAATTAACAGTCAAATTAGAAGTGTAATGGATTCGCAATGAAAAGAACATTACAAGGCAAAATAATGTCTTATGAACATCTTTCCTGTTTGGGGGAGGGGACAAAGAGTGGTAGAAAGGTGTTTATTACTCCCAATTACAATGATCATTTTAGTGACCTACTGTAAAAACTGAAATTTTGCCCTCTGAAACTTACGCAAATTGTTAATGGCAGCAATTCCGCAGGAAGAAACTTCACTGAAGCAGTTTAGATACCCTAGGAGATAAAGGGTCTTTAATCAGAATATTTGGTGGAGAAAGTTTGAATAGCTTGTCCAGGGTTGGCCAAAGAAGTGACAAATACAATACGAACATCATGAATGAGATCAATAACACTAAATGAATCTCCCCCATTATATATACTGGTAATGACTGCAGCAAATCCAACTGAAATCCTTGCTGCACAATTAGTACACAAGTTTGTAACAGAAATGAAGCTACCGGTAATCTACTAATGGTCAATTTGGGCCACAATTGCTAAAGTGACAGAAGTAATCAACATGGTGTAAATTTTCATTCACACAGTTTTAGAGAAATTGATAATTGATGTCCATCCTACAAACAGCATTAAACTGGTAATGAATCAATTCCACATTCTCTTAAAAAGATTTAATCTTTACCAGGTGGAAATTATGTGAATCTCGAGTTGAAAGTGTCTGCTGTGCAAGCTGCCTTGCCTGTTGAAGGCAAAGCCTTTCAATGATGTATCAACAGTTGAGTTGGATGTTTGAATATGTACAAAGTCTGAAAGGAAAAGGTGAGAGATGAATAAGCACTTCTGTCAATATTTTACTTTTTAAAAAAATACAACAATACATGTACCTGCACAGAGAAAGTGTGACAGTTGATTAAAATGTGAGCTACGATTTGGTAGGGAAATTATTTCTGGATTTTTAGTTTGGTAGAAAAAAATTGAAATGTGATACTGGGCAGACAACGCACAAATTAGCATCGTGTTCATTTAAAATAGAGTTATTTGGCACTTTTACATATTCAAGTGTTTGCATGCTAAATATTAGTAATATTAGGTTAGCCTAGTAACCTGTAGCCTATCACAGATTTTGTGAATTAGAAGACAACAAATCACAATTTAGTCCATCTTTCAAGAAACCAATTTGTTACAAAGGGGGGGGGGGGGGGGAGGGAGGTGTTTCACAAAGATCGTAATCTTAAGTTAAACTTATCTCCAAGTTGGACTTAACAATTATAGAAAGCAGTTAGCATCTATGAAAATATTTTGTAAAAGTTATTTTAAAAGGCACAAAATGTTGAATTAAATCATTCATATTTTCTATTATCAAGGAGATTTCATGTTATAAAAGGCCTAAAATACTTAAACTACAACGCTAATCTTCCTGAGGGTCCTACTCAGAGCGAAAATTTCTGTACAGCATCCAAAGCTACAGCGGTATTCAGCTGTATTAGTGTCGGGAGTCGAGCTATTACGGGGCTCACAGCTCATTTAAATCCCCCGTAGTTGGCACTTGCATCGCCGTGTAAAAAGTCCCTACTTTCTCTGTTTACCTAAGATTCCTCAATGCAGACAAGACAAGTGGTCTCTACTTACAGGTTCCTTTAGTAAATGCTAAAATAAGAAACAATTTTCAAAGTAAATGACAAATTTAATCTTTATAGACAGTTGGTGTTTCTATACATGTAGTCACTACAGCAGGTTTTACTGTTGTTAAAAAGACTGTATTAAATGCTCACCTTAGTTACCTTAGCCTCAGAGATGATTTTGTTGTTGCAGCATAGAAGGTGTTTACGTGAAGCCCATCTGGAATTCTACAGTTTCTTCTAGAAGTTTTTATCAATCCACTGTACATCTTCCAAATGAGGTCATGATTTGGGGCTTACCAACAAACGCAGAATGACGAGCCATTCGGCGTAAGGAATTAGCTATGGCCTTCCCTTCAAGCAATCATCAATGATTTCTAGCATTTCTCTTGTATTTATGACATAAGGGATAACTTCAATTATGTTTCAAACATAAGTCAGTTCAAGTTCAAGTTCACAATGATTTTTTCAAAGCTGATCTTTGATTGCATTGCCCCAAATCAGCTTGGTTCCATTAATCCTAACTTGATCCCAACTTCACAAGCTCATAATTTCATGTTGACTTTAGTTAATTCTTATCATTATTAGCATATTAGTAGATGCATAAGACCAGTGTTTGATAGCAATGTTTGGTCTCTGGCTGACTACCTGTTATAATCCTTCCTGCGGCCAAAACAGACTATTCTTGAAGGAAAACAGTGTAACAGGTCTATTCAATCTCTTCCATGCTCCCATTCTTACTCTCTCTCTCTCTCTTTTCTATGATTGTGGCCTTTGAGGAAAAAAGATCTACATGTATTCAATCTCCACACTCTCTTTTTCACTCATAAAATATTCTCTGACTAAATTCTGCACTCTGGTCACTTGGTGCTCCTCCTGACCTTCACCAATATCGTACTTTACATTACTAAACTCCATTTTCTGTCAGATGTCTAAATTGGACCAGGAGCCAACTACTTCACTTTCACGAGTTTCTGACGAGCAACAGCTCTAGAAAATGTGGGGGGATACTTCAAGCTTATTAGCCTCAATCCTTCTCAATGAATCTTCCTTTCTTTCTTTCTCTCTCTCTCTCAGTCTACCATATTTTTGCATCTCTATTTTATGTCTGTGTCTCTCTCACTTAACATTCTACATTTCTGTCCCTATCTCTTACACTTCTATCCATTCTATATTTCTGTCCTTATCTCTTACACTGCTATCCATTCTATATTTCTGTCCTTATCTCTTACACTGCTATCCATTCTTAATCTCTTTTCCACAAAGCTCTCTTCTCACAACAGAAATCCAAGGTATTAATAAATGGACAATGCACATTGTCTACCTCCCTTTGTCTGTCTGTCCGTATGTTTCCGTCTGTTTCCCCCTCCTTCCCACTCCCTCCCTCTTCTTTACAACTTTGCAGACCTCCAAATTCAGTGAAAATATAGAGTCATTGTCCAACTTAAAATCTTTCTGTTACAAGACCTAAATCAGATTGCAATCACAATGAAAACACAAAATGGTTCATAGCACACTTTGAAAAATCCCTCTCTAGTTAGGCCATTAAAAAAAAAACATGTTTAGCGTCCTGCCTTTTTGAAAAATAGGAAGGAGGCCCTTTTTTTTTCTTTTTCAAAATGGCCGTTCGGTAAATTTTCCCAGACGTCCAGCCAACAGGCTATTTTTCAAGAATTCAGAAAAACATAATTTTAGCAATAAGTTTTTCATGTGTTTTCATTAAAAAAAAAGAAAAAACAGGCAGCTTCAAAAAAGGGAAGCAGACGGGGACGCTAAACATGATATTTTTTTCAAATGGCCTTACATTGCAAGAGTAAATTCATGTTCATATGATGTGTAGTATGGATATAGACTAGAGCCAGATGATATTGACACAATCAGTTGTTTGTAATGATTGAAGTACACAACCAACCAACACGGCAACCTCCAATCTCTTTAACACAAGACGCTCCTTCTCCTCGAAATGCTGAACTTTCTCTCACACATTATTATTAAAAAAAATCACTTTAAAAGATGACATGAATAACAGGTGCACTCAGTTAAAGCCCCACTGTCCTACTTGTAGCTACTTGCTCCCTCTATATAGAAAAATTCCTCAATCGGTGCCTGTTGGTCCCCCATGATCCTCTATTTCTTATGTTATTTGAGAGCTGAGTTGATGACATAGCCACCTGTCAGTGACCTCGCTGTGTGGTCTAATCCCTCCTAGCCACACTAGTGTTGATAAGCTTTAAGACAAAATACTGTACAATGTGGTTGTAAAATCACACTTGTGATGTACACCACTGCCTAAAGGTTTTGGCATCGTGATGGCCCTATGCCCAAAATGCTTTAGCCAAACGTTTCGAGCCGCGCCCGCTTCCCTATACCGTAATCGATGTTCAAGCCACGCCTGAAAGCCACCCGCTTGCTGCCTGGGGGCAGTTTGGTCCTCACTTGATGGGCGTGCTGAAGGCGTGTGTTCTTGAGACTCTCGCGTACGCAATTTAATTAATACTCATGGTGACATCATGCATGTTTCATCCAGAATTTATATGGTAAATATGTAATATAATATGGGCATGTTGAAGAAAAAAATTCAGTGTCTATCCAGGCTACAGACTTTTATTCTCTTTTCAAGACAATTTTCTTTTACTTTCCTTGAAGTTTGGTGCATTGATTGTGTAACTTAATAGATAAGATAGGATTACAAAGTT